AACACCAGACATAATCAAATGTTGTTACACAGAGATTTCAAAGTTCAATGTGAATGCTTATGGGGTAGCTACCATGTTAGATCACCTACATTACAGCTTCCCATCCTTGATCTGAGACAATTAAGAAGGTACTAGATTAGGCAAAAAGAACCAAAACAGGTTGTTTCTCCTTACTGGGAATTCTAGAATGGGATACTCATTGTCAAAAAGAATGAGTTTTCAAGATCCGAGAAGGTAACAGTCTTCTCTGTAACATGAAAAGATGGCCACAAGATAAAGATGGCTGCAAGATCTTTCCAGATAAAACTGGACCTTGTGTTAAATACTGTTTGCTTCTGACTCTTGTGCTTAAAAGGCTAGAAAGTAAATCAAATTAGGTTCATCCCCTGCCCACAGCACAGTTTTGAGCACATAGAAGTCAATTAAGTACATCTGGGTTGAGGATGTGCTGAAAACTTCAACTAAATGATATTTCAAAGTCCTAATGAGAAAACACAACTCCAGATCCATTCACAGCTCTCCCCCCCCCCCACTTCTGCCTTAGACCTGATGTACTTTAAGGACCTAACTTGAGTTGCCATGGCAATTTGTCAGGGGAAACTAGACATGAAAACATGGCACTCTTCTTCAGCCTCTCACTCACATCTTCCTGTTGACAATGGTAGCTCACCTTACAAACTCATTGAATATGCTTTAGAGTACAGAATTCATACCAGTTCAAGGTATTATTGTTAGTACTTAGCAAAGTGATAGATTCACAATAGGCACTTATTGCATATTTGGTTAATTTGCTGATGAGATTTTTCAATTCTATTGAACTTAGCTGAGAAGAAAATTGAGTCTTTTGACATATTTCCTGTACTGTGCATTGAACAAAGCACTCATTCTGGAGTCAAAGGATATGGGTTCAAATCTCACCTTGTTACCTGTGTGAATTTGGTCAAGTAACTTAACTTCTTTGGGCCTCAGTTTCCTCATCTGTAAAATAGGGGTATTGGCCTGGATAGACCCTGAGGTCCCATACAGTTTTAGATTTTTGGCCCTGTGAATTAGGTCCCAGTATTAAAACATTTCCTCAACTAACAATGGGATCCTGTCGCAGCTTAGCTTGCTGTTGATTCTTTCTTAAAGGAAGAAGAAACGACCCTTAGTTCACAGGATGATAGGATTATAGGTTGAAAGTTGGAAGGAACTCTAGAGGGCATGTAGCCCAACCCCTTCATTTCACAGAACAGGAGGTGACACACACCCCTGAAATGTCTTTACTTTCTAATGTACAATTGTAAAAGGACTCATCTCAATGGCTTTGTTTCATAATTAGCCCGTGGTATTGCAGAAAGAGCAAAGTACTTCGCGTTCAAACACCTGAGCCCTCAGCTCCTCTAGGTGCTGGATCTGCTAGTTGGGACCGAGGTGACCTTATTTTCATTTTTTTTTTCTTTTTGGCTTCAGTTTCCCCCTTTGAAACTCGAGAGGATTGGACTTGGTGAGCTCAAAGGAACTGCCAGCTCTGAAACTCTGAGCCAATACGTTCAAAGGACTGAAAAAGCCATAGTTAGTGATAAATGCTCTCTTGGTCTGGTCAAGGCCTCTACTCGGGCCTCGTAAAGAGGCTTTATTGAATTTCACTCCTATATCATTTCAAAAGTTAAATTTTCATCAAGAAACCTGCCTGGGCCTCATAATTAGCTTCTTTGAGACTTCTTGTTTCTCGTTAAGTCTCTTCCTAAGAGGGGACATATATTTGAAGACTGCTGTGTGTAATTAAGAGATAATTGTAGTTGTCTCAAGAATTTTCACCTCTCCACTATTAGCTTATTTTTCAGTTTTGCCAAAATGCACTTAATTTTTTAAATTAATAGAGAACAGATATTAAAATAATGAAATTTGCTATAATTTGAAATGTCACTCTACCTCATTTATGGCTTTAAAAAGTTCTATTTCCTCATATTTAACAAATCTGATTTCCTCTTCCTTCAGTCACTGGCAATGATAGATTTTGTTCAGCTGGGCACATCCTAGGAGATACAAAATTTTTTATTCCATAACTTTGCTCCTGGAGAAATACATAACAAATGGGGGGGGGGTAATTGAATGCAATGCAGTATGGTCTAGGACAGTGAATAATGACTTCTGATATTGGTTGGAGCAAACCTATACAATTTCATTAGGTCCGTAAACGTCCCATCGACTGAGAGAGGCTTCAGCATCATCTTAGATTTGACTGTTTGGCTGTAGGAAAGACTCCTGAGTTATTTATGGAAAAGTTCTCCATCCCTGACTATCCTGTTGACATTCTGCTAAAGGCAACGATAGCAAATACAGGTACAGAGGCAGGTGATGAGCTTGGCCTTCAATAGACCTGAGCTTCCTTGCTGCAAACGTCCCTCTAGAAATCTCCTTAGCAGATCATTATAGGAAGTCAAAGGTGTAAAATAATGAGGTGCTAGAAGGGGAATAAAATCCTTGGTACTTTTTAGCAGCAAGGTGAAGCCCTGCTCTTTCCTCAGCTAAGGTAATCATAAGGGAAATAAAGATAGCATGGGACACAAAAAGAAACTGAGAAAAAGATCTATCCCATGGTCGTCAACTTCCCCAGGCTCAGAGCAAGGGCAACCCAAGACAAGGCTCTATATTCAAGGGCAGAAGTCGAGGGTCACAGCTTATAGATTCAGAGCTGGAAGGGACCTAAGAGGGAATCTACTTCAACCTCCTTATTTTATTTTAAATTAATTTTTATTCTTACTCTGAAGCTATCAAATACCAAATAGAATGGGCATTTGCATTCACATTTGCAATTACAGAATAGAACAGAAAAAGAAGATTGTGCATGAAATTACAGGGCCTACTCTGCTGCTTTTCTTTATAAGATTATAATAAGATAGACCTGTAGCTTTCAAAGCTGTCCTACTTGCCTGGTCTTCCTTCTGTCCTTTTCTCTCCACTAAAAAAAAAAAAGTCTCAATGACGCCCTCCCCTTTCTTTCATTTCATTTTCTTCTTTCTCTACTCCATTGCTATGCCCTTTGTCCTCCCCCACCAAGGGAAATTAGAAAAGAAAAAAAACACCCTTGTAAGAAATAATACATAGTCTAGCAAAACAAATTCCCGCATTGGCTTGTGTCTGAAAATGTGGGCTTTATTCTGCATCTTGCATCCACCACTTCCTTTCTTCACTTCATAGATGAGGAAACATGCCTCGAGTGGTTACGTGTTGGCCAAAGTCACGCCAGTAGAACACGACAGAGCCAGGCCTTCTGATCCTAGCATAGAAGCAGGCCCAGCCACCCTAGGAAGTCACTTCAGCTCCATAGACCACAACAAAGACAAAGCAATAGATAAATCAGAAACACACAAACTGCCCTGCATAGCTAGAAGACTAAGGAACTGAGGAAGCACAGGTAACCACAGGTAAGATGCCAACTCTGTCCTCCCCTTCCCCATTCCTGAGGAGCGGGGAGCCTCCTGGAGTTCAATCTAACACAACTCACCCAGGAGACCCCATAAGAATCCCCCCAACTTCTAGGTCAAGGAGACTCTCCCTCCACCCAGGAAAAAAGAAATCTAGTAGAAGGTTCAAGGAGGAGGGGAACTCCCAGTTGTCTCCCTAACCATGGCTGGACTGTCACTGCAGGATTGTAATGGCTCCTGGCTGCCCTTCCAAATCCCCAGGCCACTTAATCAATAAATTGACCCATGCACAGTCGTGACTCTGCTAGTGGAAATTCCTTGTCCCATGTCAAGAGGATTTTCCATTTCCCTTAGTGTTAGGGAGAACTGACCTTTAGGGTAAATGGGCTGTCATCCAGATCGTCCAGGCGAGTGCTTATAGCGTTTTTTAAACATTTTTTGAAATGCTGCATCTGTCTTATGCTGGTAGTCACAAAAATGTCAAGTGGCTCCACATTAAAACTTAGGTGGTCAGAGAAGAATCACTGTAACTCTGGGCTCCTGTGGAGTCCTCAGGAGGTGTCCCCACCCCACCCCCACCTCCCACCAAACCAACACTCGATGATTCTAGTGGAGAGACTTCGGGTGGCCCAGTTACTCTGAAGTCCCCCAAGGAGGAGGTCCTTAGCGTGACAATGCCGTAATAATAACAGGTTGCATTTATATCAGCTCCCAGGTTTTCAAAATACATATGTCCTCTCATTTGATTCTCACAACAACCTCATTTGGTAGATGTTATTATTATCCCCATTTTATAGTTGAGAAAAATGATTTGAGGGCAGCTAGGTGGTGCAGTGGATAGAGCACCGGCCCTGGATTCAGGAGGACCTGAGTTCAAATCTGGCCTCAGACACACAACACTTACTAGCCATGTGACCCTGGGCAAGTCACTTAACCCCATTACCTAGCAAAAAGAAAAAAGAAAAATGATTTGGAGACAGGCTACTTGACCTAGCTAGGACTACTTCTGTGTTTGAGACAGGATTCAAACTCAGGTGGGGACAATTCCAATAGTACCATTCTATTCACGGAATCGCTTAGTTGCCTCCAATGTGCCTTTGTATTACAAGGCCCTGTGAACTCAACTCTACTGGTCAGGCCCTACCTGCCTGCTTATTCACAATATGGTAGACATGTTGATAGGGATCACTGATACACAAAGGGGGGAACTGTTATGAATCTGTCTGATCAGCCATCCCTTATTGCAGTTAGTAACTCATAACAAGTTACTTCCTAGCTAGGTGGAACTGGGCTGAAGCGGATGTATACAATAACACATCCCTCTCTTATTTGGCTCCAGACAGTAGAGTAGGTCTCAGAATAGAGTATGTATTGAGGGGGTTACCTTCTGTCATGAACTCAGCAGTACTGCCTTGAATCAAAACCGTAATCCCTAATAAGTCATGTGGACTGGATGGAAAAGGCTTTCTATTTATCACTGGGGCAAGACCCCACTGATTCCAAACCAAATGCTTCTTTGGAAAACACACACTACTTCCACTGACCTTCAGAGTTGGTAGAGCATCGTATGGAAAAGATAAAGTGCCTCACCTTTGGAAGACAAGCTGATGAGCAGGACAGCAGGACTGGGAGCAGATAATCTGATCTGGAGGGAGGAATAAGGTGTAGGTTTTCTGGGGGTCTTTCTTTTAACCTCATTCTCTTCTCCCTAAAGTTGAACTGAAGAGCAGAGGTTGGATTATTCTCATGTTCTCTCTCCATCGATCTCTCCTATTCATGGATTACCACGAAAACAGTAGCCTCTTGGCTCTGCTCCTTCCTTTCCCACCCCCTCTTCTTCCTGGTGGCCAAACCTTTCAAAGTTTGGGGGCTCTTATCTTTTTTAGCAGACCAGCGGAGCAGAGTTCTCTCTATCCTGCTTTTTCTCCTTCTTGATTGAAAGGAAGGGAGCAAGGAAATAAGCATTTATTAATCAGCTACTATATGCCAAGCACTTTACAAACATCTTACTTGATCCTCACAACAATCCCATGATAATAACCCATTATTGTCCCCATTTGACAGTTGAAGAATCTGAAGCAGTCAGCAGTTAAGTGACTTGCCCAGAGTCACACAGCTAGTAAGTGTCTGAGGTCAGATTTGAACTCAGATCTTCCAGATTTTAGGACAAGCGGTCTATGCACTGTGCCGCCTAGCTGTCTATGATGGGTTGAAGAGCTGAAAAGGTGCCTCAACACTTACAATCTTCTCAGATATGTACATGGTAAGTCTTGCTGGATCTAAGACTGTATTGATTATTTATCAATTGCTATTCTTTTTTTCTTGTATTTTAAAATAATTGCTAGGAATTCTATTTTTATTATATGGGAATTATTTTTTAATTTACTTCCACTAAGCTTGGAATTTTCCCTGGTCTTCCACGTGATTCAAATTATGCTTACTGAGTTTATATGGTCGTCTATGAGCTAAGTTTCATTATCCTTGATAATCCATATACCTGATAGCTCCTGATAAATCTCGCAGTGTATTTCTATCTCTGTCTGTGTCTGAGGCATGGTCTCTGTCTCTCTATTTCTCTTTCTTGATCATGACGTGCTGTCTTTATTTTGTGGAGTTCCACTTCTAGGTGCTCTAGCAGCCAGTGCCTAGAAGATTCCAAGAAGACTGGCTCCCATCAGATTTGGGGTACAGCAGGCCTGATAACAAGGTAGAACTCTTCAGTAAAGACACGTTGGCATCCTCTCTCTGCCCCAATCCTCCTGCCACTGGCTGCCCTTGGAATCTTGCCCTGCTCACTCTGCTGGGTCCAAGAGCTCGTCATGGCACAGAAATTCCCTCACTGCTGCCAACTCATATTCCTACCTAGGCCAAGTTTAGGCACTTCTGCAGATTCCTCAAAGACAGAAAATGCCCATGTCCATCATTCTCCAGGGGAGAAAAAAGCCTTTTATCCCTCTTTCCTCATGGTGCTTTTATTTCCTTGCCTCAAGCCTTTGACTCACAACATTATAGGAAATATAGTTATTTCCAAATAATTCCATGTCCTTTTCAAAGGCATAGCTATAAAAGCAGTTGTGGGATTTCTATACTGCTACAATAACAGCAAGGACCCATTTCTGGTCTTTTGTGTTGAGTTCTAGACTGTAAATTATTTTGGTTCATTTTAGTGAGAAATTGGTTCTTCACAACTGGCTAAGCATATACCGACAGCACCGAGTGGAGTAAGAAGCAGCGGCTGTGGTTTATAATGTCATGGGTGCCCAGGTCATTCCTTCTTTCTCCTTTCCCAGTGAACAGCTTGTGAGAATAAACGGTTTCTCCCTGGGGGTGTGTTGTTTGAGAACTCCTAAGATAACAGACCCCACTGTGCTAAGTGCTTTACAATTATTTTTTCATTTGATCCTTCCAACACCCCTGTGAGGTGGGTGTTATTATTATCCCCATTTTATAGATCAGGAAACTTAACAACTTAAGTGACTTGCCCAGGGTCACACAGCTATCTGTCTGAGGCCAGATTTGAACTCAGGTCTTCTTGACTCTAGGTTCAGCACTCTATCCACTGAGCTACCTAGCTGACGTCATAGCTACGACACTGCCCCTACTTGTCCATGATGCCTTCAGAGCTTCCTTCTTCTCTCCTGTTTGTTTTTGTTATGATTGACTGATGATCTTTTCTTCCTTTTTTTATTTTAGTATCACCGTCACTATGTCCCACTCTTCTTCCCGCCAGAAGAAAAATAAAAGCCCTCCCTCGTAACAAATAAGTATAGTTACATGAAACCACATCGGTCGCATCTGCCTTCGCCACCCCGTAGTGTGCCATGTCAGTGCTGGAGACTTGGGGTGCTCACTGGTCACGATGCTCATTGATCCTGGCTCTTCAGCTTTCACAGTTTTTTTCTTCGTAAAACTACAGTCATTGGACACATTTAGTTCTTATAAGTCTTCCCAGGTTTCTCTGAATTTATCCTTTTCATCATTTCATCTTGGGGCAATGATATTGCATCGCATTCTCAGACCGCAATGTTAAAATCTGGCAAGTCTTGTGAATTTGCACATCATCCTTGGCTGGGGCCATGTGAATCTTCTCTGCATTGTCCTACTTCCGGCACAGATTTTGCTGAAGTGAGCAGCACAGAATGTGTTCCTGAAGAGGTGGCAAGCAAACAGCTCACTCCTTTGTGAGGCAGCGATCTTCCTTAAGAACAAGTCATACCAAACCAGCTCGGTGTCCTTTTGTGGCAAAGTCGCTAAACCAATAGACCAGGGCAATGCTGATGACGCGGTTTACTCAGACCTTAGAGAAAGGTTTTTTAAAGTCTCTCGTGTTATTCTTGCAGAAGAATTTGGAGAGGTGTGGGCTGAATAGCAGTACTAGTAATAGTAATAGAGGAAATGCCATGCATTTCCTGTTAGAAGACAGGTCTTGAGGTTTTATTTCCTTAGTGATGAAACCGCATCTAGTGAGAGAGGAAGTAGTCGGGGTGGGAGTAAGAAGCAGAAACGATCTATGAGTGACTCTTGAAGCCATTTTCTGGGAACTACAGTAGAAAAGGGACCCTTATTAGATCTATGAATAACACTACGGAACATGAATCCGTCGGTCAAACTGTTCCTCATTCACGGGTTTCACTTTTCCCCCTCTATTTTTTCTTTTTCTTTTTAAAATTTTAATTTATGGAATAAAATAAGCATTTCCATAATATGGTATAATTTTTAAAAAGATGATTGCATATGAAACTGCAAATCTATTATGTACAACTTGCTATTCCTTTTAAATATGTAATAAAGTTATCATGTAAATTTCTTTTTTTTCTTCCACCTCCCACCCCCAGAAGATATGGCTACCGTTAGACACAAATATGTATATATGTAAAATCATTCTATATATACTCCTATTTATCTCTTCTTTCTCTGGATGCAGATAGCGTCTTTCTTCATGCGTCCTTTATAGTTAATTTCGATATTCATAACAGTCAAAGTTACACGTTCCCAGTTGTTCTTAAAGCAATATTGCTGTTACTGTATACAATATTCTCTTGGTTCTGCTCATTTCACTCTTCACTATTTCTTGCAAGTCTTTCCGTGTTTTTGTAAGACCATCGAGCTCACCATTTGCACAGTAGTATTCCATCACAATCACACACTACAACTTGTTCATCCATTCCCCAATTGATGGGCACCCCTGCAATTTCTAGTTTTTTGCCACCACAAAGAGAGATGTTATAAATGTTTTAGAACATATAAATTCCTTTCCTTTTTCCCTAACCTTCTTTGGAAATGAACCTAGTAGTGGCATTGCTGGGTCAAAGGGTATAGGAAGTTTAATGACTCTTTGGGCATAATATTTTAATACTCTTCTAAAACAAATATGAACTGAATACTTGCAGAAGTGGGGTGCTGGCCTTACTGTGCTTGGGGATACCGAGAAGATCTCCCCAGAAAAAAACCGGGAGAGATGTATGTTAAACAACAACATGATTAGATCCAGAGCTGCCTGAATGGCTCTACCCGAAGAGTTTCATTACTGGTTTAACGTCAACTCTGCAGAACGTCTGCGGTGGAATGTCCCAGAGAAATGAGGACAAAAGAGCAAAGTTAACACAGGACCTTTACACCATCAGTCTCCGACACAAGGGTGACATTTTGGTGGCTTGTCTGGGACCATCAGCAAAGGGGTTGTTGGACGGCATCCCTCGCAAGCACAAGGGCAGACATGCTCCTAATGTCCGTGGCCTCACGAGTGTGGGCTACATGCGTGGCTTCTTTCTTTCTCGTCGGAGGACCAGTGCATGAATGCAAGCCAACACAAAATGCTATTAGTTCAGGGGATAGCACTGACCTGTGATAATGAAGGCAAGGCTGAAAAGACACTGCAGATTATTTTAAATAAAACAAGAGCTCAGTTCGGCACTTAAAATCCTTCACAGTCTGGCTCGGCCTAGTTGTCCGGGCTGATTATGCATTATTCCTGCCTCTCACTTACTCTGCGTTCCAAACAAACTAGCTTACTTGCTGTTCCCATCTCCAGCCTCCAGGCCTTTGTCTAGGCTGTCTGCCATGGCCAGCATGCCCTCTCCCACGGAGAAACCCTAGTTTTCTCCAAAAGTTGACTCCAGTGCTACTGCCAGCCAAGGGCTGTTCCTGATTCCCTGAGCTGTTAGTGTTCTCTCCTGGAAAACTGCTTTTAATTTATTTTCTATCTCTTGTATTTGCTGTTCTGTATAAATGGTATATCTCCCCCAGCAGAATGTAAGCCCATTTATTCCTTTGTATTGACAGCTCCTAGCATGGTGCTGGGAAAAGAGCAGGCACTACATAATGCCTGTTGAAATGAATTGAAGACAGTGCAAAACATGGGAGAAAATGCGCAGAAATGATCATAATAATGATAGTAATAATGATAGCCAGCACTTACAGAGCCCATAAACTCTTGCAAAATGCTTTGCATGTGTTAACTCATTTGGTCCTTATACTAACCTTGTGAGGTAGGTAATATTATTATCTCTATGTTACACAAGAGGAAACTGAGGCCATAGAGAAGTTAAGTGGCTTGCTCAGGTCATATGGCTAGTTAGTAAGTGTCTGAGGCAGGATTTAACCTTGGGTCTTCCCGATTCCATGCCTGGCACTCTACCCACTGTGACACTCAGCGTTGCCCTGGGCTCCTTTCCAAGGCTCTGCGGCCTTCACGATTTCCTAGAGAGATACTCATGAACAGAAGCAAATGGCAAAAGATCATTAAACTCTCTCCTCTTCATTGCACTGACCTTCCTAGGGAAAAGGGGACCATGAGGTCATAGAGACAGAGATTTCGAACTGGAAGGGATCTCAGAGGCCATCTGCTCCATCCCCTATGCTAAGAAGAGAAAAGTGAGAGCGATCAGGCCCAAAGTCACCCAGGGAGCCTGGAAGGCTTGAGTCAAACCTAAGTCATTTGACTCCAAATCTATCTCTCCTTCCAATGCACCACAACGCAGTAGAATTATTAGAGTGAGAGTCTCTACAGAGCCAATGTGAACGTATTACCAGAGACCTGGGTCCAAGCCCTTAGATAAGCTCTGGAACAAAGTCTTCAGCTGCCCTTGGAATGGATCCCCTAATGCAGAGGTCGTCAACCTGGACTCCATGAATGTTTAACAAACACACATCTTTGGATAGCTACATTTCAAAATAATTGTTTGCAGTCCTATGCATTTTATGCATTTAAAAAGCATTATTCTGACATTCTGAGACAGACCGGGTCCCTAGGCTTCACCAGAGGGCCAAAGTCAGTTCAGAACCCCAGCCTACACAAAGCAGAAACACTTCTGCCCCGGAAGGACAGAAAGACATTTGTTCTCCGGCTGGCATATTATAGTGAAATGCTTCCTGAGTGGCAGTTGTCAGACACAGAAAATCAAAACAATAGTTAAAGAGACCCAGAGGGCCCATGCTGGAGGTAAGTCATACTTTAAAAGTTGATAACACATCTGTTAAAACCCATGATTGCTTGTGGCTTCTGGAACGTCACTTTTGGGGCACGTGGAGTCTGGAGGTCTTCCACCACGATCCAAGAGGAAGGTGGAAAGGTCTCCAGGTCTGATGGGAAGTGGTACCTAAAAGGGCAATGACCTCAGGTTCTAAGAAGCATGTTAGAGGATTGGAGATGATCAGAGCCCACGGGGCCCGACAGGTCATTTTGTCCAGCACCTTCATTTACAGAGAAGGAAACTGAGGCCCCCGAGAGGAAGTAACTTGCCCAAGGCTGCACTGCCAGGAAGAGGCAGAGGTGGGATTCAAGTCCTGCTGCTTAATGTCCACCTGTAAGCATGCAGTTCGCAATACTGATTTAAAAAGAGAAAACTAAAGCTGAAGGCCGCGGATGAGTCCCCAAGACCTATGAGAATCCTCAATACTCTCAGACATACCAACACAGATATATGAGAGGAACCTGTTATTTTTAATCTGATATAGATATATTGTCCTATATGAGTGGGAACTCTCTCCATCCATATGGATATCAATCCTTCCATGATAGAGCAGATAAATCCTAGAGAGAGGATAAGTGACAGTGTTACCTGGCTAGTGAGTGTCAGAGGTAAGATGTGAACCTGCCTCCCCATTTCTAGGCCTAGCATTCGATCCATTAAGCCCACACACACTCACACACACACACACACACACACACACACACACACACAAATACCAAATATAGTAAATATATAAATATATAATAAAATATATTATATAATATATTAGATATTATATAATATCTAATATATTATATATAATATGATATATAATATATAAATATAATAAATATATAAACACCAAATATAAATTTTAATCACCAGAATCAGGCCTTAAAGGTTTTTTTGTTCTGTATTTTAAAATCAATGCCAGACTGAAGCAAAGCACAGAATCTCCATTTCAATCTACTTCTTAACCATCGAACAATATGACAGTTACATTTGGTTTCGGTCTGTGTCCAAAAGGGTCTCTAAAGTTCTCAGCATCCAGTAGCTCCAGAAAACAACGCTGAAATGTACATGCAAACACACAGGGTATGATGGATCTTTGGTAAGCTCAGGGTGTTGTCTAACAGAGCGACACTCAATCATTGCTGTCATTTCCATCTAGGTTCTTTACGTCAAGAGATAAATTTGAAAAATAGTTAAGATACTCCTGAAGAAATTCAGTCTGCACTGAACAAGGCTGTACGAACTTATCACAGTGCTCATCTGAATATGGCATTCCATTTTTTAAATATGCAAGGATGACTAAGTTAAATTGTCTGCGCTTACCGTGGGGGATAAAATCTAATGTCACCTTTGGGGGAGTTTTAAAATGCCTTCAACATTTGGTTTTGTCTTAATGGCAGCAACAAAGAGCATCCTTTTATAATTATTATTAAAAATTTGTGTTGAATCCTCATTACCTGCCTGATACCTGATTCAGCACTGTGAAGATTCTATAATCTTCACATTCTATAATAAATGTGAACTAGACAGGTTGCTCAGCCTCAAATACTTAAGGGACTATAGGAAAAAGGGGAAATTTGAACATACCAGAAAGACAGTATTTGTATTATCTTAGTGCTCTGAAGGATAGCCTACACTACCCTTGCTTCTCCTGAGTGAGATTTGAACCCAGATTCTCTGATTGCAGAATCCAATGCTCTCTTCACCATAACAGACCTACACTTTTAGAGAGTTGTCTAGGCACGGAGAGGTAATGATTGGCCCATGACCACAGAGCTTTAGGATGTTAGAGAAAAAGAGCATATAAATTAAAATATGGTGTATGTAGAAGAGGAGAACAGAGTTCTATGAGACTAGATGTGGGAGGCATCACTTCCAGCTGGGGGAGGTAGGTAGGAAAGGCTTCGAGGAGGAGGTGGCATTTGATGTGGGCCCTGTAGGCTAGATTGGAGATACACAGGCAGACAGATAACAGCACAGGCAATGAAAAGTCATTTATTTATCTATTTCACCATTATTTTTATTAATAGCTATTAAATTAATTTTAAGTATTTTTCTAAATGAGAGGCAGCTAATTCAGCGTGATCTAGGTACAATTATGGCCTCTGAGATGCCCTGGACAAGTCAATTGACCTCTGAAAGGTGCCTATCTGTACTGGTAGAAGGAGTATCCTCACTAGAAATTGTCCACATCAATGAAATCACAGGCCCAGTCCCCTCATATTAATTAAATACTTCAAATGAATGTATCTCTTTATACTTATAAAGTGCTCTCAATCCATTCACTCCTTTAATCTCCCTGTGATTCAGGGTACGCCTATACCATTATCCCCACTTTACTGGGATAAACCTTAGAGTTCATCTCACCCATTTTGCAGATGAGGAAGGTAGAGCCTACAGATGTAAAATGACTGTCCCAGGCCACACAGGAAGCAAGCCAGAGGGTCAAGATTGGACTCAGGTCCTTTGACTCCAAACTTCAAGTTCTTGTCCTTATATCAGATGAGGAAATGGAGGCTCTGAGAGGTTCAGGAAATCACCTACAGCCACACAGCTAATGAGGAACCCCTCATTAAGCAAGTAGTTAAAATGATGTCTCTGATCTCTAAATCCAAACCTCTTTTCACTACTATTTTTCCTTTTTATTCCCTCAAAGGTTGAAGTTAATAAACAAAATAATAATCACTCTTACTGTATCTTTGCGCTTCCAATTATCTAGTCTAGTTTTTTCAAACTTGGTAACAGGTCGTTTTGGTGCGTTGCAGACAGGGCTGGACTGAAACCTTGAAACACTGGATGGGGTATGGCAGATTGACATTGGGTCTGGAACAACCTAGGTTCCCTTTCATATGCTCAGATGCTCTCTGCCACTAAGAATGCTGGAGAATAGAGAGGGGACAAGCCCAAAAGTGACGGTGATAATAGATGACCCTCAAGAGAAAGATCTGATTCATGAAAGGAATCGGAAAGACTGACTCCCTCTCCCCCACCACACGCACACACACACATACTCACTTCCTATGCACACTCTTTCAGAGCAGGCCTGGCACCTACTTCAGGCTGGTCAAGTAGAAGCCTGCTTTAACAAGAGACAAGGTGTCAGGCACATAATGTCGGTTTCAACAGTGAGAGGGTAATTAGGCACTGGTATGGTATGGTAGCAAAGGAACTAAAACATCAAGAATCCATTTATAATCCTAAAGAGGATCTGTGGGCCCCTGAATTCCTTTAATTTGTGACAGAGAGAAATATAGAAGAGTCCCCATAATCATATAATCATATATAATTACATAATCATAATCATCCTCTTGCCCCGGATGCCTGGACACTTCTAAGAATTGACCTTGGATGTCAGGAGTTTTAGGAGTCTCAGTGGTACCCCCAGAATATAATTGTATGATGCTGACAGCAAGCACTTATAATACTCTGGAGAGGCTGGCTAGACTTGTGTATCATAGCTCTGTCTCAACTTAAATAGTAATAATAGTAATAGCGGTAGTAGTAGCAGTGGTAATAGCAGCAGCAGTAGCAGCAACAGTAGTAGTAGTTCACTTACTAGCTGTGTGACCCTGGCCAAGTCACTTAACCCCAGCTTAAGGAGGGAATAACATGCACAATGGGGTATAGAAATCTGTCTTACCCTACAGGAAAATAAGGGGGAAGGGGACAAGAGAGCTGGGGGTTGATAGAGGGAGGGCAGACTGGGGGAGGGGATAATCAGAAGCAAACCCTTCTGAGGAGGGACAAGGTCAAAAGAAAGAATAGAATAAATGGGGGGTAGGATAGGATGAAGGGAAATATACTTAGTTTTTCACAACACGATTACTATGGAAGTGTTTTGCATAACTACACATCTATAACCTGTATCCAGATGCTTGCCTTTTCAATGAGGGTGGGTGGGGAGGGAGGAAGGGAGAAAATTTGTAACCCAAAGTTTTAAAAACACATGTTAAAAATATAAAAATTAGAACAAAACAAAATTTAAAAAAAGAATGGAAAAAAACAAATAAACAGTAGTAGTAGTAATAAAAGTTAAAGGTTTTCATGCTTCTCTTATCCTCAGTACCAGGTATTCATGGCTATCATGGTAGCTGGTTATATGGCAGGGAATACCTGGGACCTATTCTCATCTGTCATTGTTGGTTGCAACTTTTTTTTGTTGTAGCTTAAGGAAATCCTGAATATCTGAGTTTGGGGAGGTGGCATTTAGCTCTGAGTTTTAGAAGGAGGGAGAAACCTGGATTAGAACAATCCTCCTTGCTTGAGACAAAGTCTCTAACCGAAGTGAAACAGACCCTCCTTCCTCTCCCACCACATTATGACCCAGTGCACGTCTAAGTTCAAAAGCCCCAATTCCACATTATGATAGACTAATGGGATTAACGAATGGGAAAGGACTTTAGATTATCCTAGAACATAAGAGCTGAAAGGGGCCTCAGTGACCATCTAGTGCCACTCAAGCCCTATAGTAACTTATGCAGCAAGGGGTCATTCAGCTTTTGCTGGAAGCCCTTCAGGGAGAACTTTGGGACAACTGAAAGGTAGGAAGGTAGGAAAAGTAGGAAATGTTTCCCAACCCCAAGCATAAATCTACTTCTTTGCAGTTTTCACCCTTCCTCCTGCTTCTGCCCTTTGGAACCAAACAGAACATGTCTAATTCTCTTCCAAAGGACAGTTTCTCAAATACTTGAAAATAGCTATCATGTCCTCCCCCTCCTCTCATCTTTTCTTTTCCAGGCTAAACATCCCAGTGCCCATTCAACTGTACCAAGGCATATGGTAGATGTGTTTGCAATGATTGATAGATAGACAGTTGGCAGGATCAGAGTAAGAAGGGGAAGCTATACAGTGACCACCAGAGAAGATCAAGGGAAGAAGGCAGAGATGCTGGACAACAGGATGCTTGCCATCTGTTTCTTCTTGTATCACCACCCTGATGTCTGTAGGGTACAGGCATTTCATTGTTGAGGCTCATAGCTTGAGTGCTCTGGCATCTCTGCTTCGTCTGTACCAGCATGGTAGCAAGCAATTACTGTATGCGATTAAATATGGTCTCAATTTGTTTATTTTAGTCATATCTGCTGAGGCTGCTTCCAGTTCCTTCCTAAAGAAATGCCAGGGGGGAAAGAGAAGAGTAAGATGGTTGAGTTCAGGCAAGCTGGCACCTGAATCAACTTTGTTGCATCAAAGTCCTACTCAAGTCTTTGTCTCACTCTTAAGAAACTACTCTATTTGCAAAAGTGACAGTGATGATGATGATGATAGGACACTAATGATATATAGATACATACATATGTGTATATATACACAATTGATATATGTATACTTAGGTATGCATAAACATGTATATTTGTGTATATGTCTGTATATATCATTTATATATATACACATCCATATCTATCTACATATGTGTATATACATATATGTGTGTGTGTGTGTGTGTGTGTGTGTGTGTGTGTGTGTAACACAAGGGCTAGTTTTAAGAGCAAAGGCTCATAATCAGCTACATGAGTTGCTCCAATGCCGCTTAAATATTGTTTATTGCAACTGTCACAAAAGCTGAAGCCCACAGCTACTGTCTTGTATAATTATCCTGCTTCTTCCTGTCTTTGTGAGGAAGAGAATGCTTCATTTTTATCGTTGTAGCCTCAGTTTTTAGCTTAGTACCCGGCTTAATGAATGCGTGTCGATACATAAAGTGATTGGGTTTTCCCTATTCTGCCAAGAAGACAAAGGTCAGAGCCCCTTAGAACAACCTGAGAGACTTTCCTAAGGGTTTCCTCATCACACTTGGGCTGTGGGGGTTCAGTTCATTGCTCCATCACACAGCTCATATCCCTCCATCTTGCCCACAGTGATTTGTTGGAGATGTTATCAAGCGTCTTGCTGAAATCCAGATATACTGTGTCTAGCATTCTGCTGATTTAATGAACCTGTTAAAAAGGAAATGAGGTTAATCTGGCACCATTCTCAATGAGTCCATGATGGCCTCTAGCAATCATCCTGTCCCTTTCTGAGTGCTCACAAATAACTTAATAACTTATTCTGGAATTTTGTCAGGGATCAGTGTTAAACTCTCCAGTCTATGGTTTCTGGAAGTCCCATTATTCTCTCTTGAAAATCTGGAAGGGTGAGGGGCAGCTAGGTGGCACAGTGGATAGAGCACCAGCCCTGAAGTCAGGAGGACCTGAGTTTAAATCTGGCCTCGGACACATAACACTCATTAGCTGTGTGACTCTGGGCAAGTCACTTAACCCCAACTGCCAAAAAAAAAAAAATCTGGAAGGGTCCCTACTAGACTTGACACCACCTTAAATATGTGATGAGAAGAATAAGGAGGAGGAGGAGGAGGTGAAGAAGAAAAAGGAGGAGGAAAGGAGGGGAAGAGGGAGAGAAAGAAAAAAAGAAGAAGAGGAGGAGGAGGAGTTCAGATGAAAATCACATCTTCAATTTGTAACAGGGAAAGCAAAACCAAAGAAAACAGCATCCATCCAGCTTTTCAATTTGCACCCTCTACTTAGAAGGAAAGATATAGAAAAAAGAAAAACGCCAAGGAAATAGGTTAATAAGTAAATTGAGACTATTAGCAAATTTGCTTTTTAAAAAAGCAGTACTGCTGACCAATTGTTTGGAACCTTTTAAATTGAGGTTATTATTGCAGGATTCTCAGGTCACAGGAAAACAATCCATTAAGCTGCCAATTCCTAAACATGCTTTCAATGTTTATAAAAGACATAACTGAAGAAGAAGGGATTGTGTGCATATTTCAACTATTTTAACATTAAAAATTTTTTGTGGAATAGCAAGAGAATATCAAAAGATAGTTGCTCAACATGAAATCATAGCCTCTGACCAAGAAGATCTGAGAAATCTAGCATGTGGATTTTTAGCAGAGAACAAAAAACTGACAAGCCCCTTAATTGCCATGAAATTCAAGAAGGGAGGCTCTAAATGACCTGAGTAAATTCCACATTCTTGGCTTAGAAGGAAATAGATTTTTTAAAGACATAGCTTAGTGTAGAATGTACTGAGAAAAAGACATGCTGATCATCTTTCAAGTCTGGGGGTGAGAGGGAGCTTGAAGAAACAGGGCAGTATTCTCTCTAATTAGTTTCTGGCTAAGAAAAAAAATTTTCCTTCTAAAGACAACCCACTGCCTTTCCCTTCCTGAATTTTCAGATTTCTATCAATACACTGCCTCACAGTCAGGGAGACCTCAGTTGGAGATCTCTGGAATATGCAAGTTGTGTGACCTTGGATAAGTCACTTAACCTTTCAGTGCTCTAAGCCACTCTCTCAGACTATAAAGAAAATTGGAAAGCAGGTAGTGATCTGCATCAGTAGAGGTAGTTTGCTCCTCGCGGAGTTCCCTGTACTAGTGAAATCATATTCCCCATCAATGGTGCTATCATTTTCCTAGTAACTCAGGATTAAAACCTGAAGACTACCTTTGACTCCTGTCTTTACTTCTTCTTTGCATCTCATCTGTCCTGGGAAATTAAGAAATTACTCCAAGAGGCGGTTACTTCATTATCTTAATCATACAACATGCATTACGTGCAGGAATCCTCTCCCAGAAAGCATAGTTAGAAGCTCTGTCTTGTGCTCCAAAATTTATTTCAACGTTGAAAACCCTTCAGAAGTCACAAGCACCTGCCGCGTGACTCACCATACCCCAGCAAAGGCGTCGGTTTTCCTAGGGGGAATATCCCCCGAAGGTCATGGTTCTGCGTTGATTATGCAAGTCCAACCCAAAGAGCTGATACGGCTGACTTCTCAAAACAGCCGCAGCTACTTTCTCCTCCCCTCCCTTAACCTCTGCTGCAATAATCACAGCTCAGCGTCACCACTTCTCACTATTGTTGCTGTCAGTAACAAAAATAATCCACATTAACATGTCACTGGACGGCTGGCCATTTCTAATTACGTATCTGCTTTTAGCTCAGTTAAGTTTAGGGAGTTTATATACGGAAGAGAACCTCATCCAAGCCGTCTTCATTTTACCTTTCTACATTCAAGTAAATGGTCTGGCTGGAAAAGATGGTAGAGTATGCTCTGAAGCAGTTGTTGGAGGAGCCTGGCCAGCAAACCTTGCCAGCTTCCTCCTTATTCAACAGGATTTGGTCCTACTGAATTACTAGTGACATGGTATAGTTACAGAAGAAACTACACCTTGGAAAGGTTCACATGTAGGTTTCGAAGCTACATCAACAAGGTTAGAATCTGGGTCTCGACTCCCAGTCCAATGTTCTTTCTACTTCCTGTTTTCTTGGATCGTGTCTTTTTTTAAAAGAGTTAATCTGTGGTAGAAACTATGGTACTGGCATATGGTTTCGTTCCCAGACAGGGCAGCCTGTGTTGTGTAAAGTTCTGGATGCTCTTGGAAAGGTGGAGAGTCGTTATGTTGATTACTTGTGAAGGCATCCCTGCCTCCGGCAGACCCATGAGTGCTAAAACTCCCTGGTTTTGATTTTCAGTCCTACTTCTGAAGGGCTCACCAAGCCACAAGGTGACAGAAGCAATAATTTACCTGACATACCAATCAATTAGTCAACATGCATTTATTAATTACCTATTATGGACCAGGTACTATACCAGGCACCGGAAATACAGAGACAAAAATAAAGTAACCCCTGATATCAAGAAGCTCACATATCAGGGAAGGCAACATATAGAAATATAAATAAATATACATTTTGGAAAAGGTAATTTTAGGGAAGAAAGCACTAGCAGCTAAGGGAACAGGAGAAGTTTCACAAAGGTGACTCAGATGGTGCTTTGAAGAAAACCTGGGATTCTAAGGCAAAGGTTAGCAGGGTACACATTGCGGCTAGGGAGGACACTTGTACATATGCACAGAGGCAAAGATGGAGGGCTGTGTCTGAAGAACAGTAAGAAGGTCCATTTGCCTGGGTCATAAAGAGCATGAAGGAGAGTAATGTATAATAAGACTAGAAAAGGAGGTTGGAGCCAGGTTGTGAAAGGCTCTAAATGCCCAAAAGAGGTGTCTGTGGTTGGAACCTAGAGGTAATTGAGAGCCATTGGAATTGATTAAGCAATGAAGTGCCAGGGTCAGATTTGCACTTTAGGGAAATCACTTTGGCAGCTAACTCTGCAAAGGATGGATCGGAAAGGGCAGAGACTTGACGCAAGGAGATTAATTAGGAACCTGCTGTGGTCATCTAGGCAAAAGGGCATGAGGGCCTGAATGGGAGCGGTGGCCATGTGAGTGGAGAGAAGGAGATGGATGTGACAGACTTGGAAGAGATAAAAAGGACATGATTGCCAACAGATTGGACATGTAGTGAAAAATCAAAGATGCCTCTGAAGTTTTGAACCTGTATAACTAGGACCAGTGGTAACCTCAACAGAAACAGGGAAGGAAAAGGATGGGATTGGGGCAAAAAAAAAAGTTATGTTTCCATGCCTACCAGAAATCTAAGTTTAAAATGTCCAATAGGTAGTTGGTGATGTGGGACTCAGGAAGACTAGGACTGAATATGTAAGTTTGGGAATCATCTACATAGAGATAATGGGACTCATGGGAGCTAAGAAGGTCACCAAGAGAGAGTATGCAAAGAAAGAAGACTCAGAACAGAGGTATGTTTGCAGGGAGGGGAGAGATTATATGTGGATGACAACCTAGCAAAGGTGCCTGAGGAGGGGTCCGACAAGTAGGAGAGTTCAGAGTAGCCCACAAGGTATCTCAGAAGAGAGGGTGGTCAATAGTGTCAAGAAAGACGAAGATCAAGAAAAGACCTACAGGCAGATCTGTGCATCCCACAAGTAAAAGGATGATGGTATCATCCTTCACCTCCAGTGTTACTTTTCTAACCAAAGACTATTATCCAAGTTGTGGTGCGCAGTAAAGGAAAGGTTTTATATATGCTAGAGGGCATTGTGGGATATCTTTTGTCCCTTTTGAGCTCTTCTATGTTGTTATGATTTTAGGACAAGGTCAGCTAAGAGCAGTTTTGGGATAAGACACACTGTAAGGTCTAAGGCATGTCCTCTTGGTCACTTGACTTTTATCTAACACAAAAATCTCAAACTGAATTTAAAGAAAAGTGATAAGGTTGACAAAATCAACCATTAGGATTAAAATCCTATCATTTTGGTTGGATCTCAGATGTACCAGGTAGTAGCAGTAACTATCTGAATTCACAAGAGGTCTATGTGCATTTGGTAGGAGCTGAAAGGTAGGAGAATGCCATGCTGTTTGTCCTTTGTTGTAGAAGAGGACCATCACATCAGGGAGGTGATGCCATGACATGCAAATGAATTGGATTTAAGTGAGGGAGGGCTGTGCAAAGTCACCAGCCTTGCTTTCTCCTCTGGAACCATCTGGTTCCAGCTGCCAGATATGGATCAGGACAACTGGAGATGGCCCACGATGCAGTTCAACAGGTCTCAGGAGAATTCCACCATGGGGTGGAATGCTGGACTCCCTTATTTTCAACCTTGGGTTCCTAGAGGTGGACAGCTATGGCTAACACTATTCATCAGTCCTGTGAGGGACCACGGAAAAATGGTGTCCCCTAAAGATTTTGTCTAGGAGAGAATAAAGAGGAGGAGGCAGAGGCTCCTTTGGAATACCATAATGGCGACCTAGATAATCATGGATAGAGAAATCCTTCTTTCTTCTGCAATGAATATAGGATTAAGTGAAAAGATTTGTACTATGGTTTAAATTTAATAATTCATGAACACATCAAATGTAGCCAGTTGTATACATGATATATAAGGTGAGATTGTGAAGCTGATTTTCTCATGTGACTGGTGGAGTAAATTGTGTTACTTTCAAAAATCACACCTTGTACTTACATTCATGTTGGCTCTTTGCATGGCATATTCCTGGGGATGTGATTACATTATCCCATATTCATTTCAAATTGTTTCCACTGCATATAAATTCAGGTATTGTTTTTATGTTACCCAAATGGAACACTGCCTATAGTTAAAAAGTACATATGGGAACAAATGGTCTAAATTGGTTGATCCTTAAGTCCCGGTACGTTTAAATTGTTCTGAGTTAATGAGAGGTATCAAGAACTTTGCTCTGAAAGGCAAATTGAAAGAATTGATGTGAAAGATTCAACACCAGTAAAATGATTTTCCTTCACTCCTTCGGATACTGGATAAATTTTACATGTAGATTTGCATTGTGTGAGAAGATGACTCTACAGCCTTTCTTTTTTAAAAAATTTGTTGGATATTTTTGACATTGCAGTTATTTCCAGATTGACTTCCTCCCTCCAGTCCTACCTTGTAATAGCCATCTCCAGTGACAGTAGGGTTGGATATTTTCTTACCTCTTTTCTGGAGCCAACAATTATTATAATTACACAATGTTTGGCTTCAATTTATTTCTCCTTTCATTTACATCACTATAGTCATTGTGTGTATATTTTTCCTGAACCTCCTTATTTCACTCTGCATCAGTTCACATAAGTCTTCCTACGTTTCTATGAATTCTTCATATTTGTCATTTCTTATGCTAATAGTCGATTTCATTCACATACTATAATTTGACATTTTAGGAAGGTTATCAGTAAATCACATTTTCATTTGTACAATAAAGGAAACTTTATTTCTGAAAATAAACAACATTAATGGAGGGGAGGTTAATCTTTCTTGGTACATTTGTTCCTTTGAGAATCAAGTTCACAAGCAGATTTGCATGATATTAAGTGAAACCCAAGAGCCTGCGTGGGAGATCAAGACAGCTAGCCTAGGGGCCAGGAAGGCCCTGCCTCTGGACACCAGGCAAGTCTCAGTCTCTCAGTGTTCTAGGACACTCTAAAACCATCCCACTATAGAAAGGATGGCCTAAGTAGAGGGAGTTTCCTTACCTGGAAGCGTTTTCTACCAATGAAATTCTAAGTCTAGTTCCTACCCCAAAGTTGCTGCTGTTCATCCTTCATTTTCTCCTCTCCGCCCCCCCCCCCAGCAATTGGGGTTAAGTGACTTGCCCAGGGTCACACAGCTAGTAAGTGTCAATTGTTTGGTCTGAGGTCAGATTTGAACTCAGGTCCTCGAGGCTGACTTCAGGGCCAGTGCTTTATCTACTGTGCCACCTAGCTGCCCTCCATCCTTCATTTTTAAAGAAGCCCAATGAGATGATGAGGTGACATCTTGTGATACCTAACTGGAGCCCCCAAATCTGAACTGCTTTTCAGTAACATTCATTACCCAGCATTTACCTTCTTTTCCTCTCTAAGCTGAGGCCACAGAATAAAAGCTACTCTTAACAACGTTCTTGATTTTTAAAAAAAATGATTATAATAAAGTTATTATATACTAATACAAAAGATAATTATGACAATGTAATTAAATGGTCAAAACTTAAGCATGTATGCAGGGGGTCTGAACATACCAATTAATGTTGGTGGCAAAGCAAGATACCCCCCATCTCAACTTTATGTTTTGCATTGATTGGCTGTGTAGTATTTAGTGTGGTTTTGTATTTCATAGACAGCTAATGGGTTCTCCATTCTTCGTACTGTGACTAGTTTAATAAACAAAATCACTTTCTAATTCCTGTGACAATGAGTTTGTTCTGGACAGTTATTAAATGGGATTCATCTCTCCAATTTTAAAGTTAGGCATTTCAGGTGCCAACAACTGCAGATAATAAAACATTATATTCACCAAAAAATAAAAGCTCCAACTATGAATCTCAATCCATTTTCTTTGCAAACAAGAGACATTAAAAAAAAGTTTCCATTTTAAACGCTTCCATGTTTCCTGATGTCCAAAATCACACCACTTTTCAAA